ACAAATGGATTTAATAATTTTTAATAATTTTGTGCCATGGTTTAACCACAGCATATTAAGAACAAGCATAAAATCTGTATTTAAAACTAACAACAGCACTTAGAGCAACATCTTCCTTTAAAAGTATTGCAATAAACAGACCTTAGGTCTAAAAACTAGGACATCACCATTTGCTCAATTAAAAGAGTCAGATACACAACAGTTGAAATCTTTTTTCTGTATATAACTGGGAGTTACGGTGGAAAATAAGCAACAAATTAATTGTGTTAAACACAAAATAAAATTAAAAAAAAATAAAAAGTAAAGCAAGCCAGGTTTGTCATAGCATCACATGAACAGCTATTGAGAAATTCCAATACAGTTGTAAAAAGACTTACTGTTCTTAATAGCTTTGTTTTACAACAATAAATTTTAAAAGAAAGATTAAATGTTGTTGATAGTGCTGTACATATTTCAGAATAGCTTGAAAGAAAATGGACAAAAATAATAGATGTGTTGAAAATGTGATCTTGAAAGCCACAATGTTGGAGATACAAAAAAAAAATTAAAATCCATACAGCAATAAAGCATTTTACACGGTAAATTAACTAGCAAGAAACAACAAATAAAGGGGAACACTCTACAAACAGGCATTTGATGGTTAATTTTGAGTGTAACAGCCTGACTGATGTACATACCATCATGAAATGCTCTGAGCACAGCAGCACTGGGCAGTTGAGAGTTATACAAAGATAAAACCCCTATCAATGCTTGTGTAGTCTTTACATTATGAGTAGAAAAGCTTTGTTAAGGAATACTAAAGTGATTTTTTAAAAATTATTATTATTATTGTTTTTGCTGTCCAGGTCTATGATGCCTGAGGCTCTCGTAACTTCTGCTCACAGTCCTTTTGAAATCTTGGCTGCCTGCTGTGCTTTGTGGTAAATGGAAAAGCGTGAACACAGCTGTGAATACACTTAATAGACAGACAGTCTGCTCTTTCCACTGCAGCTTCAAAGCAAATTAGTGCCTCTAAAAGAAGACATGCTCGTGTTTGGTCCACTCAATATGCATGTTTTGTTATGATAAATCCTACTCTAGACTCCTCCAGCAGGAGGTTTACTCTGTACAGTCTTCCTAGTGAAGGCCCGGGGTTTTTTGTTTGCTTCTCTTCCTTCATGCACAGAAGTGGTTCTGCAGTGCAAACAGAAAAGTGAGGATGGCCAGGCAAGGCACACTTCCAAAACAATTACTCCACGCCCTGACAAACAATAAATGAACTAACAAGTGACAATCAGGAAATATGTGTATTTACCCATGGTACATGCCCACTGACAGAACAGCTCAACAAAGAGAAGGATGTGATGATACAAGCTACCTGTGAGGGCATGATGATGCAGAACTGGCCATAAGCAACTTAACACACTTCTTTAAAACCAAAAAAAAGCCAAAACAACCACAGTCAACATTCAGATACAGGACTCCTGTGAGGGCTTTTCAAGAGATATTTACAGACAAAGGTGTAGATGCTTCAGGTGGACAGAGAAGCAGTGAAGGAGTGTGCCCCCAGGCACCACCCTCCAGCGCAACGGACGGGTTGAAAGCCCACTCAAACCAGAGGAAGCCCCACCACTGACTTCACTGGCCCCGAGTAAGGCCCCCTGAGTTTCAGCACAGCACTCTGCTAATCATCTGAAAAACCAAACCAAAAGGCCATCTCAAACATCACCCAACACCTTGCTACCTTACATCTGTGGTTAAAGCCTGGCAAGTATAAAAAAGCTACATACAGACAGGAGTGTCTATGACAGAGTAGTTGGCATCCATCTGTGAGAGGACAAGTCTGTCTCGGACCAATAAACTTTTATATTACCTACTGTCCTGGGATAGTCAGAACTAACAGGTTAGAAAAGTAAGTACAGCATCTGCAAGTCCCTACACTACAACTTCATGGTGAGTTTTCCTGAGGTATTTGCTTTACCGGAGAGCATGCGGGGCACGGGAATGGAGCGCCAAACACAGGGAGACGCCAGGGGAGAACCAAACTGCCAGGGGAGCCCAGCAGGAAGCTGAAGTGCAACATTACTGCCCACACCACTTCCCCCATTGGGTTTGAACGGGTCTAAGCATTTCTCTGTCACCTTAAATATGAACCTGGGTGAGCCACTGCTGTCAGAAGCCAACACAGCAGCAGAGCTGCCAACTCAAAGCTCCCACTCAAACCCTGCATTCACTACCTGCTGGGGCCACTCTTGTCCACCCTGCAAGAGCACAGGTCACCAGGGAGTCCCTCCACACCCCAAGCCCAAGGACAGTCTGTAGTGGCAGCATGGTGCGCCAGCAGTGGGCACAGAGAGTTGGCTGCTGTCACAGAACTCTCATTGGCCTGGTTTTGATTTTGCAGGGATGCTTTGGGTCAGTTCCCACTTGTCTGAGCTTCATTTCAAATCTAGGATGTGATTAAAAAGGTTTGAAAAGTTTAGCCCATTTCTAAGTTAAAAAAAAAAAGGTAATCAAGGATAGTAATAAATAATGTATCTGCTGGAGAAGTAGTAACTAACACTGGTCCAACTCAGCAATAGCAAGGCAACAACCAATACGAGAAGCGTTTAGTTGCAAGGTTAAAGCTGTGGAGGTTTTGTTTGTTTTGTGGTTTTTTCCTTTTTTTTTAAAGTGACACATTAAGAAAAAAGAAGAAATCTTCACAGCAAAGATGCATCAAATGACTAATTGCTATACAGAGGCTTGTCAAAAAGGATTTGTTTAACCTTTTTCCCTTATGATATTATATTGATATTTAATAGGAAAATAAAATACATAGACTTTTTGTCATTTGTATGCATTCATTTGCAAACTTTCTTACAAAAAAGGACCAAGCACAGATTGGCATTCACAAAGTCTATGCCATTTTTTTTGTGTTAAAATTGGTATCATCTGTACACTATCTTACAGTATTAACAACATCTATTTGTTTTCATATGTTTGTTTGCTTTTTCTACCCATTGGGTAGGATATGTGCATAATATATTCAAGTTATACACAGCACCATACAAAGAAAAAAAAAAAACAAACTAGAAAAAAAGACAGACAACTGAAAAAGCACCATTTTAAGTGAGGCACAACAAAGGTGGGAGTGTAAGGCCAGATGCAAAGCCCCCTGAAGCTGGCAAGAGTCTTCCTCCTACCAACTTCAGCAGGCTTTGGATCAGGCCCTCTTGAGTGCAAGGGGATTCCTATCTGCTCAGACCTGAACATGAGGCACCTTAGTTGCTTACAAACTACTGACATGCAAACCTCCTCAAAATTATACCTAATAAGGATGTCTTTAATTGATTAGTAAACCTACCCCAGCAGACAGACAAGCACAAACCAAGGAGAGAAAGGAAGAAGAAAAGAGACAGCTTTGTCACTCACGAGATCCTACACACACCGTGTTGTTTCAGGAAGCTCACACACCAAACCACTTGAAACAGCAGCAGCAATATAGCAAAGAAAAAGCATCATCTCTGGCAGTAAATCACACTTCTGTCAGAGGGAAGAGGAAGTATATATACGTTACAGTTTTGTTTTTCTATCATTAATCAACATAAAAAGGTAAGCTCCTTTATAGCAAGAAAGCAACACTAGCAATACCCGAGTTGCTTGTGTTCAGCCTAAAAACAGAAGAGACACCAGCAAGGCAGAAGTAGCCAGGAGAGTTTGTGACACAAAATGGTCCTTGATCTTCCCTTTCAAAAGCAGGAGAATTGTACTGGGTGGTTACCAAAACAGCATTAGCATCCCTGAAATACATTTAATGCCAATGACAATTTCAAGAAAACATCAGTAGGCCCCTCCACTCGTGTCTGTGGTACTAAAGAGTGCAGCAAAGCACTTCATCCAAACACCTACAATTCAGTTTGCTGGGAAGAGGCAATGCAGGTCTCAGGCTGGTTTTGGAGGATGGACTTAGTGGCGCAGCTTCTGTTTATTCCCCAGAGCTGTACCAAGAAAACTACTCTTTTTTTTTTTGCTGGTGCAAGTGTGCCCAACGGGGCTTTTGCCAGCCCAAAAATGCAATCAGAGGTGGCTCTAAAGGTAATTTACATCTCTGGATAGGCTGGCAAACAATCTATTAACTAAAAAAAAATCCTGCCAACATTTTCAGTCAGCATGCTCTCAAAACCTAAAGCTGAATTTCCTAACGGAACATACAGACCAGTTTTTGGATGGGAAACTTCTCTTTAGTTCAACACATCCTCACAAGGGACTATTCCATGTTTTAAAAGGCCTCAGACAACTCAATAAAGCTGCCTCTTTCCAGGGACTGAAATGATTGACACATTTGGGGCTAGTGTAGGAGAAAAGCTGTAATTGTACTGGTGGGCAAGCAGGCAACACAGTGCAGAGAAAGACCAGATATGTGTAATTAAATTATGTGCAACAGCCTTTATCTAAAAAGCAAGGATGCAATCAAAAGCCAGACTTCATCTGAACCCACTGCACAGAAGGATCACTTGGTTCTCACCATCAGCTAGGTCTGAAAAACATGCTTATGAGATTTAGGGTACACGAAGTGTTACTTTCTTCCTGTACATCAATACACGAGATCTGCATCGGGGTTATCCCCAAGCACAAAGATTTTTCAAAGCTCACCCAGAAGGAGAGAGAGCTGTTGGATGGAAGATGCACAAGCACACCAGGTGACAGGCAAGAACTGGTGCAGCAAGAAAGCCCCCTACTGATAAAAACATAGGTCATGACATTTACAGGACTGAAAAGCAAATACTCCTCAGGCTTCCTGCTGTTTGACAAATGACCTGCCATTGTCACTGAGAGCACAACACCAAGCCATTCAGCACCTCTGGAAGGTGATCATGGAATAGAAACTAGCACAGACAGAATCAAGGGGACAAGTCTGCAAGCAGGTCTGTATGTGCATGGACATGACTTAACTGTAATGACCAGAGAGAACCTGTGAATAACCCTGAATACTTTCAAATGTGCCAGCAAGCCTATTGTTTATCCTGGGGGGAGGAGGGGGCAGCAAAAACCATCGCTGTATATCTATTTTTTACCAACTTGCTATTTTGTTTTTCTTCGCCTACAGAATCAGGTTACCTTAGCTACCGTGAGTGCTCAGGGATAGAGTCAGAGAAAGGTCAGCAATCAATCCTCTCCAAAGCATCCAAACATTCCTTACAGATTAGAGTGTCAGTTGTAAGGCCCAGCATCTCACTACCTGGCAGGGTTAGAAATGACCACCTCAGACAGCACTGTTCCAGACAGCCTCCACTCAGGGCTCTTCAGCAGGACAAGGATTTCTTCTCTATTGCAAAGAAGTGCACTCCTTGATAAACAGTGCAATTCTGCTCCTTACCCTTCCCTGCACCTCATTCACAGAAAAAAAACCAAGAACTCTCAATGACACTTTTTAAAAAAAATCTATCTGCACCAAGCACATTCTGGGATTTGGCATAACAAGTACCTTCCAGCTGGGACAAACTGGTATAAGCAGTGGGCAAGCAGTAATAAAAGGCCAAATGAAGCACAGCAGATTCCATGAGTGCAGGAACACGATCATCTTCCTCACTGGCCATCAGGAACTTGTACATGGGGCATATGCTGGAGTTATCATACTCCCAAGGGAAATTCATGCTGTAATAAAGTCCCATCAGCCCAAGACTGGCCTACATGCAGAGTCCATCAGTGACAAGACCAGGAGTAGCATAATTATATCCTCCCTGATAAAAAAATCCTATTATACAAATTCCTGTGAATTCTGGATGTGCCACACATGCCAGGAAAGGGATCTGAACACTGCACTGTTGGCTGGGTACCCCTCTTCCTGTCCCTCACTCACACCTTTTAAGCAGCATCCCACTCAGTCTGCTTGTCCAGCACTGAGGCAAGCCCAAACACAATTGTTCTAAACATAGGTATAGAATTAGAGCTAAGTGCCAAGTGCTGCATTGGTAAACTGGGAGAGAAACAGGTTTTTTTCCTTTGCTAAACCCCCTGCCTTTTCTAGCCCTGAAAGATCATACAAAAACACCAAAGATGGGGCATATTATTAAGCATCAAGAAGAGAGCCATGCCAAGACATGTAAGGGAAAAATTAGTCTTTGCAGTAGGACAGAGGTCACAAAACTTTATTTCATAAAGGTGCATTTAAAAGAAAAAATCTTTTAACCTGAAAATTTCTAAAGTAGTAACATCGCTATTCTGAATTTTGGGAAAATGAGTTACTGGGCAAAGTCAGAAGATGCAACCAGAATTCAGGCAAATATGATCTATCACATAGAGAACACCACACACATATTATGTAGGTTTTGTTGTATGAGACATATAAAATCTACACAATTAATGCTACAGTGTTTGCAGGACAGTTTCATTGAGTGGCCCTGGGATACAGTCTATCAATTCTGGATGTTTTCAAAGCTGGTCTTCCATAAATGCTTCATAGAATTACTTATCTTCAGAGCTCACCAATCTGTTCTGTTATCAAGAGCAGATTTTCTACCAAGTCATTGGAAGAAAAAATAGAAAAAGAAAGTGTTTCAATGCTGCACTGTTGACTGCCTTTCCATTGGAGAGCACTAATATCCATCAGAAAACAGCTTATTTACTGCTAAGAGAGGCCCCAAAACAGAAGATTACAAGCTCACCTACAGCAAGTGAACTAATCACCACACTCCCAGAGCTGAGTCAGCACATTACATGTGGGAAAGCAGAGCATGACATTAAGCCATTAGAGCGTCCAAAGGAGGGCCATGAGGATGATGAAGGGTCCCAAGGGGAAGCCATGAGGAGTGGCTGAGGTTACTTTGTTTGTCCAGCCCAGAGGAGTCTGAGGGGAGACCTCAGTGCAGTTACAACTTCCTCATGGGGAAAAGAGGAGCAGGCACTGATCTCTTCACGCTGTTGACCGGTGACAGCATCCAAGGAAATGGCAGGAAGCTGTGCCAGGGGCAGTTTAGGTTGGGTATTAGGAAAAGATTCTTCCCCCAGAGGGTGGCTGGGCACTGGAACAGGCTCCCCCACAGCACCAGCCTGACAGAGCTCAATTTGGACAGAGCTCTCTCAGGCACATGGTGTGGCTCCTGGGGATGGTGCTGTGCAGGGCCAGGAGCCAGATTCAATGATCCCGATGGGTCTCTTCCAGCTCAGCTTGTTCTATGATTCTAGGATGATTCGAGGATTCTGGGATGAGAAGACAAAGATGCAAGAGGAGATGCAACTATTAGGTGAGCAATTACCAAGTTATTTTTAAACAAATCTTTTCTAAAGGACTGGAAAAGGCTACATTTTCCAGGCAGAAAAATTTTTCATCCAAGAAAACTTAAGAGACAGCATAGTGGACAATGTTAATGGGAAGTGCATAAATCCACTAGCATGCAGAGAGGGTAAAAGATGGCAAAGGGCTGTTTTTAAAGAAAGAACATTCCCAAGAGGCAACTTTGAAGGCAACTTCAAGGCTCACTTTGCTGAGATCACACATGAGGAAAGTTGGTCTCCAACCAGCCCAAGCCCAGGGCCAGTCCAGGTGTGCTCTGCCCTGACAACTGAGTTCCAGCTGTTCTCACCTCAAAGCTTCTCTAAACAATCCTCACTTAAGCAACAGCACAGTACCTGTGTAGGCACACATATTCTCTGGCTTAAAGGCTTGCTCATCAAGTGACAAAAGTCACTGAAGACCAAAACCAACATTTGCTGGCTTTGTCCTCTGGTTGGGTTTTGTCTGTTTGTCGTTTTTAACTAAGAATTATGTTTGTAGGTTCTTTGCAAAAATCTAATTTCACAGCTTTTATTCCCAGGAACCAGACAGTGATGAGAGCCCCAGCTGACTGACAGCTACCTAGTCATCTTCTAAACACCTGTCCTCTGGGTCTGAGAGGAAAAAAAATAAGTGAACCCCACCATGCAATCTCTATCTCTCCCTTCAACTAATACATACGATAAAAGGCAGCCTTACTCTGCATGACTCAGACCAAAATTACAATTAGAGACAAATGGGGCTGTGCATTCAGACTAACAGTTATACAAATGTTTTCTAAACTAGAATAAAATCAAATTAACTTATGAAGAAAACAAATCTACACTGAGGCCCAAAAGACAACACGCACGCAGAAACACACACACACACACACACACACACACACACACACACACAGTTTTGGCATTAAAACTCTGCATAGATCAAAGATGCACTTCAGTTATCAGAGTCCATGTACAGAAGTCCTGCAGAAATCCAGCTTCCAATCATGGGACCAGGGCATTGGTGCCCTTGGGGCACTCAGCAGCTGCTGCCCACAACCAAGCACAAGGCTCAGGAAAACAGAAAAAAGTGAAAGACCTTAACGTGAAGAGGTCTATGACACACTCATACACCTATATATTAGAAACTATTCAAGATTCTAAAGATTCTTACTTTTAAGTCCATTTCCAAAATGCATTTTAAGTGCAATTTGTGCTTTTTCATGTGCTTGTGATGCCACTATCACCTTCTGTCAACTGTGTTCCGGCACCGCGCGTGCTTCCACATGGGAACAGCCAGTGGAGAAACACCCCAGATGCCACGACACAGGCAGGGAACACTTCCCAACTACTCTCCAGGCCAGGTTAGCAAAAATCAGGGCTTACAGACACTTGGTGAACACATGAATCACCTTTAGCCATGAGCACAGTCCTGCTGTTGTCACGCAGACATCGTGCACCCAGAAGGGTTTCTGCAGCAGGGCCCAGAGCAAAATGGTTTGCAGGGAGAATTCCTGGTGCTCCCATGACTCTGCCAGGAGCCAGCACCACTGCCACTGCAGGAGCCCTTGGTACTGCTGCAAAAACACCACAGGGGGGGTTTGGCCACAAGGGCTCCCTTCACTTCGACAGGATGGACCTCCAGGACTGAACTTCAGCATCTGAAAGGATGAAACGGAGAGCGAAAACCACGACAGCCTCACGTACTTGAACAGCAGAGCAGGGGAAAATAATCCCACCCTGCATTTCAAACCATTTATTGCATAACGTCATGATATGCGACTAAATACATTTCAGGCTACAGTGAGGACAGAAATCTCTAGCACGGTAAGTACTGGTGATACTGCATTATGACAAGGAAAAGAATGGCAGCACTTAGAATCAATACATCTGGAAATTGTAGTTTTGCCATTTATGAAAGAAATAGTCTACACTGCGAAATAGATAAACCTTAAGTGATGGAAAATGCTGGGATTTCATATTTGCCTTCTTCCATCCAAAAGTCTCCAAGACACTTCACCGATACATTGTTATTTGAATGCAAATTATTGCAAAGACAAGTGCCCCTGTATTTTTTGAATTGTAAAAGTCAAGAGATGTTAGCCTAAGTCCTGTCCCCATCTTTTAGCAAACCCAGGGGGAGGGGGCAAACTCCTCCAGATTACTTCTAGGGCTCTATCATTATTCCACAGGTGAAACAACAACATATAGAAGAACTTCACATAAAACAGTTCCCTCATATATACTTTTTTTTAAAACAGTAAGATAGTGCAACTTTTTAGAACACATTTATCACAACACAAATTAATTCCTCGCATTCATCTAAGTTCTCAACTTTATACCTTGGCACATAGAACAGGAATTTTGTTTCATATTAAAAAAAAATTCACATCCTGGGAGAAAAAAAAAAGCAAACTGGCCAATTTTTCCCCCATTTATCTAGCAAAACCACCTTTTTCCTTCTGCCATTCAGTGAGTATAAAACAGGCTGTACAAGCCTCATTTCTGTGCTAAGTTAACTTTTAGAATTAAATACTTGAAATAGTTTATTAAAAAAAAATAATATATCCCCCCCCCCTTTCCCCTGAAACACTGCTCGTAGACAAACCGAATGGAAGTTTGTATTTCTTTCAATCTGCTTTGCATGCAATTCCCCTGAAAGGAATCAGAAACAGAGAACTGGTTTGCACGTTTGGTTTTACTCAGTTGTACCACGTAACAACACTGTGCACCGGAGCACGGGGCTCTTCCTCCGCCACCCCGCTGGGCTCTCCCGTCTTCAGTCCAAACGCACCTGGGCAGGTGACCTAGACCAGGTTCCCTGGCTTCCGCTCCTGGCCTTTACTGGGGACTATTGTGCTCTCTGAATTGTTTTGCTGAAACTGAAGTCTGCTCCCCCTCTGCGAGGAAGGAGGCATGTTGCTGTGCTGGTGATGGAAAAAAGAGGAGCCGGGGTAATGGCCCATGACCTCGCTGTACGTCGGGGGCGGTCCTTCCATCCTTCCATTACTGCTATAGTTGGTTGCACTTATGCCCGAGTTGCTGCTGGGTGGGCAGGGACCCCCATTGTACATGGAGATGTCTATCAAGTCGCTATCAAAAATGGTTCGGTTGGGCGGCGCCCTGACGGATTCCCGGTTGAGCTCCATCTGCTGCTCGGGGTCCCGGAGCTGCAGCGTGCACGGGCCCTGGTACGGCGGCGGCTCTTCGCCGTCCGAGAGGGAGATGGTGGGAGGAAGGTCAATCTCATGCTGCATGTAAGGGTAGGTGGGCTGGAAGCGACTGAAACGGTCCCGCTGCATAAAGGATGGGGTGGTGAACCTGTCCCTGGACCTCGGGGCGTACATGATCTGAAACGGGAAGAGAGACACGCGTGACTCCACCTCTGCGCCAAGCGCCGCGGCTGCTCCAGTGCTCACCCCAAACTGATAAAACACAGAATGCTTCTTCCTGCCACCTGTCTTAGAGGTTAAACCCAGCAGATACCATGCACACATGCAGCCACATGCCTGCAGGTGAAGAGGCAGGAGGTGCAGGAAGGATCCAGCACACTCAAGAACAGCTTCACAAAGGAAGCACAAGACCCCACACAGCTCCTTCTGAAACTAAAACATTCCAAGCAAAAATAAAATTATTCTGTTTCTGAAACCAGGAAAATAATTCTCTCTAGTTCGAGTAATTGACTAGCTCTACAACAATGTTCCAGTACTGAATTTCAGCTGCAGTCTGAGTTTCCCCCTCCTACTCAGAGTTAATGCATCCCCAAAGAATTCAGATGGTCATTTCAGTACCATTTGTAAAGGCTCAGCGTATCTCACGCCTTCACCATCAGAGTGTATCAGGTGTCCTCCTCCTCCTCAGTTCTCAGCCAGAACTCAGCCTCTGGGGAGAACCTACAAAGCTTCTGCACTGTGATGGAAACTATGTCCTTGGTACATTAAAATCCTGGAGAAGGACAGGCTTTATAAAAGGAAGCATTCAAGATACTCTGTGAGTGCTGTTGCTCCTCATTTGGTCTCCCAGACCTGGACACACACAGCAGCTTCTCAGATCTACAGCTATCAAACTGCTCTTCTCTTTTTTTGGATCCCTGCAGGGTCTTCAACCCCTGACCTTCACAGATGCAGGGCCAACCACCAGGAAGTTCTGCTGCTTGTCACAGGACAGCTGGACCACTCAGAGCAATACACCCACAAATCATTACATAGACAAGGAATCTGTGCTAGCTGGAAGAAGGGAGACCCTGGTGATAGGATATGTGCTGTAAATCCAAGGAAAGTTCAGAGACAAGAGGAACTGGTCTCCCAGCTTCCAATGAATACTCAAATTACTGAGCCACTGTGGGAAACAGACACACCTCCATCACTTATTTGTGGATGCCTACTATGACACAGGGAGTTGCTGATGGAGATGAGGTGTCAGGTAGGCAGAATTTCATTCTTTTCTGAAAAGGTCTCAGGAATTTATGAAATGCATGTCAAGGCGGGCTTAGATGACAGTGTGAACTACACTGAAAAAGCTTTCTTTACAAAAAATAGATGTATGTTTTTGAAAGGAACCAAGCACACATTACAGGAAAAAAAAGAAAGCACTTGGTGAAGACAGTCAGAAATCTGTCAGTACCTCTGAAGCACCCTGGCGTGAAACCGAGCTTTCTGAAGGCCACAAGCACCCCTCCTGAAATGTGGAAGAAAACAACAAAAAAGAAAAATTAATAGGTCACATCACCATTCTGCCTCATTATCACAGCTCTTACCAGCAGTCACCTTCTAAGGACTGGCTGTCTCCAGGAGCTAAACAAGCAACATCCCACCCCTTTCTTTCCAAATCACAAGCAAAGAGCAGCTCTGCTCCCAGGCAAGTCAAGCTTGGTCCATTTTGCAAGTGCCAAGATGTCATCCGCTGCACCCAGCCCCAGAGGCCATAAGGATGCAGCAAGCTGGTGGAGTCTGAGAGAGTGTGGCAATGCATGGAGATGACAGGAGACACCTCAGCACCTGTGTGCTGAGCAGGTACCTGTCACCTCCCAAACCAGCAAGGGTGGCAGGTCTGACAAAGGTCTGCCAGCCAGGATCCCGATTACACAGCACAGGCACAACAGTTCACAGCAAAACCTGGCGTCTGTAATCTCAGGGAAGTGACAGACACGCTAAACCCAGGGATAATCTGGTCAGAACTGCCAGTTGCCCAATTCCCACCACAAACAGTAGTTAAAGCAGCTGAGGTTTCAGCCACTTTTTCAACCACTTCTCCAACCATCTTCTCAGGTCAAAATATTTTCTCTCTCAAGCCTTGAAATGCTGTTCTGACACCGTACCAGCACTCAGGGCAGAATAAAGGGGTGACGAACAGTACATGAATAAGGGAAAATAGCTTAAGGTGTATCATTATTTTTCTTCTCAATTAATTGTTTGGAGTAGCAGTAACTCCCACAGTGGATTTATTTTATTGAAAAATTTTGAAGCTGAAAAGGACATATCAGAGCAGCTATAAAGCTCAGAACTTCAATTTTGGTGCACAAAGAGAAAACAAAAATATTGACAGTCGTGACTATTTTCTTGATGTTAATTCAAGTTTTACATACATAAGAAATTTCAGGAACTGGAAGGAAAATGCATACTGTCCCCAAAAGCATTACCATGTATAGACTGCTTCCAAATCTTACTGTACTGCTTCTTCTCACCATAGCATCTTTCAACATATTTCAGAAGTAAAAATAGACCCAACTAGATGTTCATCATGACACTCAGAGACCAAATGCCGTCTGTGATCTTGTCAGGAGAGTCCACTGCAGAGAAAAGCTGCTCTGAGAGGACTCTCCCACAGGATTCAGCTGCTAAGGGAAATGCTCTGAATAGCAAAGCTGGTACACTTCTCTTCTAGCTTTACAGAGCAAAGATAGAGAAAGGCTGACAATTGCAATTATTTACAACTTCCCCAAGTATTCCCCTTTGCAAAGCCATGAAAGGTAAATCTTATGCAGAGTCACTTATTTCAGTGCCTAGATGTGGTTCTGTCAGTTAAGGAATTGTAACTGTGGAACTAGACACATACATGTATATACACACACTTGTGCACACATTCCATTCCTTCATTTTCAAATATCTGAGGATATGTTTGCACAATTAAAGGCAATCAGGTTATCAGCAGTTGACCCAACGGGCTCCAAACCCATTGGAACTGTTTGTAAAACACATTAGTCAAAGCTAAAGTTCTCAATTAACTGCTCCTGAGTTACAGGCTCAGAAGAGAAGAAAAAAGGCAAAACCAACAAGCCACTCAGAGAGAAATAAAATCTACCTACACCACTCATATTACTTAAACTCCCTTATGAAAAGGAGCTGCTGATGAGGATGTGGAAACAACTTCCATTCTAGGGCCCATCTCTCCAAAGGCAAGAGGGTAAGATGAGCTGAGAGAAATGGTGCAGCATATGGAGAAAAACTCCTTGCATGGAGATGGAACAGGACGTGCTCACTGAGCCAAGTCTCCCAGATCTGCTACCAGCCATGCCTAACAGAAATAACTTTTTAGAAGAGAGGAGTTGCCTGTTACTTCTACCACTGATGCCTGAATCCCAGAACAGCCAAAGGCCCTGCCTGGAGCACTGCAGCTGCTGCAAGGATCCCAGTGAGTAACCAGGGCACTGGGAAAGTCACACCAAGATGAGACCAAAGGAGTCCAAAGCTCTCCCCACTCTGGGATGCCTACTTGAGAAGGTAAACAGCCTGGGATGCAGCTGAACTCTGAGGCTGCGAGATCCTTAGGATGCAAGGACATGCAACAATGTTATTCCTGTGACAGTAGGTCCTACACTCCACCTGCAGCTCCTCCCTTCCCTAAGGTTTCCCCTGGAGAGAGCAGCAAACAGAATAAACGATTTGGCAGCAGCCAAGCCCCAGCAAGATCTCTATCCCAGGAGCCAGAAGAACTGCCCAAGCAGATGGCTGGGTAACACGTGCTCAGCATGCCCACACTTGGAAAATACCAGGCTCAAACACGTGCAGACCAACCTCATGGTTGGTCCAATGACACAGCACAGAACTCTCTCCTCATCAAGGCCAGACTAACTGATCCAATACAGAATTTCTGCCCTCCTGAAATCACTGCATCTACCACAGGAGACATACTACCTACCTTTCTGAGTCTTTATTTAAGGAAAACTCCCCTTTCCCTGCACTGGGTAGAAACCACCTAACCCTAGGCTTGGTGCCCATCAGCTCCACTGATCTTGGGGTGATGGGAAGAGGTGGAGATGAGAACAAAGTGCTGCAGAAGAAAAATATCCCCATGACTACACTCCTCCACCCTGAGACACAGATTAAGGAAATAATGTGCTGGGATCACCCTGACCAATCTGGGGTGACTTATATGGAGGGAAAGTGTGAGTTCTTGCTCCCTACTTGTCCCTGTGCTTACAGACCTTCCTTTGTAAGCTAAAATGCTTCTTCCCCTGTGCTCACATCAGTGAAAATCAGATGAGAACTGACAGGATTTGTATTTATATTAGGGATTTGTACAAGTAGTTATCAAGTGTGTGCAAACAAGGCTAAACCTGAGCAAATGCAATCTACCCATATTTTGATGAGGGCAGTACCTCATTTTTTTGCTTCTTACAGACTGTCAATAGCTAGGCCAGCTCAACGTGCTCCTTGTTCAAGAGACTTCAGGCACGAGCTTCCATGCTTAAAAGCAACAAGGAGAGAAAGCTTATGCATTCATTCCCTATAGTGTATTAATTTTTAACACTGTTGGGCTTTGGAATGAAAATTCTAGCATCTACCAATAACACCAAGCAAGAAAAATCTTAGGGATCCACCTATGTCTTTTGCTGACCCAATGTCATTTTTGGGTTTCACCACAATTTACAGAAATTAACTTTGTGATTAGGTTTTGAAATAGTAGCATCATTTAATAAATCCAGCTGAGTGATTACTTAATTATCTCATGGTGATGATTATTTAACTCAATATTTAGAGCTTAGGAGAGTCCATAGGCCTAGGATAATTTGCTATTTCATATTTTACAAAGCTTTAGAGCCTCCAGAATTAAACAGTGTAAGAAGATGACTTTCTGAGAACATTTTTTCAATAGTGGAGCATACACTGTCACCCAACTGCCTCAGCTGAGCATCAGCCCCTCGACAGCCAGCAGCAAAGACATTTACCAGAAGAATGATTCTTAACTCAGGAAAAATTAGAGGTAAAAATTTACATTCAGCCAAAAGTTTTCCTCAAGCTGTAATAAAGCAAAAGGATCCCTGTACTTGTTAAAGCTGGGACAGAGTTAATTTCTTTCACAGTAGCAAGTATGGGGCCAAGTCTTGGATTTCTGAGCAAAACAGTGTTGATAATTATTTTCATAATTGCTGAACTGTGCTTACACAGAGTCAGGGCTCACCTCACCCCACCAGCAAGGGGGCTGGGGGGGCACAAGGAGCTGGGAGGGGACACAGCCAGGACAGCTGAGCCCACTGAGCAAAGGGACATGCCAGACCACACGGCATCATGCTCAGTACGCAGAGCCAGGGGAAGAAGGAGGAAAGGGGGACTTTGGGAGCAAGAGCATTTGTTCTTTGCAAGTCCCTGTCACACAGCATGGAGCACCAATGCCCTGGCAATGGATGGGCACGTGCCTGTCCCTGGGCAGTGGTGAATGAACTCCTTGTTTCGCTCTCCCTATGATACTGTCCTATCTCAGCCCACGAGTTCTCACTTTTACTCTCCCAGCTCTCTACCCCAGCCTGCTGGGAGCAAGTGGCTGTGTGGTGCTTAGTTGCCAGCTGGGGTTAAACGATGACAATCCCATATAATCCAAACTCTTCTTTTTTTGCTGATTCTTAAGGAGATTTACAGGCTTTCTCCACTATTAAGTTTCTGCAAAATAGAACTCTACCTGAAATAATGTTTTCTGAGAAACAAAAGTCAGTTTTTCCCTTTCTAAAATGCATTACAATTATTAAGAAGGTCCCTCTTTACCCCTTAACATAGATTTTTATTTAATTTTTATACAAAAACGTGTGCACACACACACACACACACAAATACACACATTTCTTTTGCAAGTGAACTGTTCCAGATAATAGTGTAGTTTCTGCTTTTGGCCCTAGGTGGTACATTACACCACATTAAAGCACTGGCTTGCTGAAAACACTCCAGGAAGGCACAGGGGCTCATTCCTCCCAGTATCTTCCTGGGTCATACAGACCACCACAGCTTTGAAGATAGCAACAAACACAAACAAAACAAACTATTGTGCTGTCCCCAACAGAATGGTGAGTATTCCAGCAGGACTGCTTGTTCCTTTAAAAGCAATTCCTCAAGGACAGGAGAGGTGACGCTGTCTAACACAGCAGTGCACAGTACCAAGCAGAAGTACTAGAGAATTACAGAGAGTGCCAAATCTCTCACACGTAATCTGCCTCCCTACACTTACTGCAATTATTCCTGTTACTTAATGCTTTAAAACTTTTATTTCCCCATCTTCACAGCACTTCATCACTTTAAGCAATCTTCATTTCATTCAACTGAAGGGATTAAGTACTATTATCCTTCCTCCTTTGTTTGGAGATGAAGCAAGTTGCCCAAGGTGACACACTGAGTCAGGTGCCACCCAAAGCCAGTGCTCCTTGCTTCTAGTCCTACCTGCAGATTTCCTGGACAATCCTGCCCTTATTAAACATATAATGACTTTACTGTGGGAGACTTCAAAGGGCAGCAGCCGAGCTCGCTGTCCCTCTTGGCAGCACTCCCTGAGGAGAGGCAAGCCCATGTCCCTCAAGGAGACAGCAGGAGAATACAGCGCACATCCAGCCCTTGCCAAATGATGACTGGTACAAACAAAAAGATTTGGCAAAGCAGGGTGGTCTACAGCACTCACACCCTCTCCTGGCTGTAGACTGGGCTCTCGTTCCCAGTGGGATTTTCTTTCCTTTGCACATGTCAGTAAGAAAATGAGAATGAGTAGCCTAGGGACACCAGCAGGAAACAGACAGAATAATGCCAGTAGGAAATAATTTAAAAGACCAGCAGGAAAGACTATCATTTGAAAAAATGGCAAATCCCTGAGCTGTCAATATTATTGACTATTTTCTGTCACCCTCCTGACATTCCCCTTTTATTCTGAAATAGCTGATGCAGGGCAGAGGGGAGTATTTTTTACAACTGTGCTCCTGGAGCTCAGCATCCAAGACTGGCATTCCCAACACAGGTTTAATGCAAGCTGAGCAGTCTGAGCAGCAATGCTGCCCTCGGTGCTGGGAGGCAGGGGCTGGTCAGGGTGAGCATCCTGTGTGATGGATGCAGGGATTTGCTGCCAGGAGTAGGCCTGGGGCAGTACAAGTGTTCAGCACTCATTCAACACCTACTTTATAAAAGAGGACAATGCAAAGACACCAGGATAGGGAAAAGGAATGAAATTAGGAACGTCAAAGTTCATTAAGTACCTCTCTGTAAGTCAGTTAATCTCTTTCCCCTCAATGTCCCCATGGAAATCACTGGTGATGACTTTAAGAGTTAATCATTGGGAAGCAAGATTTGTATTTGTTTTGTCCCAGCAAACAGCAGAGTGCCACAGCAGCAGCTCAGCTGCAGCTACCTACATTCCAGCAGGACACTGGCTACCACCACGAGTGCCCTCCCAGTACCAGATCAACAAAGGCACAGCCAGCAAAGCTGCAGCAACACAGATCTCCCCTGGGGTATCACACACACACACACACGCTGTGCACACATGTGCCCTGCCAGGGCTGCCACATGGCTGCCCCAAATTCCCCCAGCACTGCCAGGAGCATCAGCTGCCCCCACACCAGAGTTCTGCTATTTCTCAGTGAAGCAGCCCCTGGGCAAGCTCCTGGTGTACTCCACGCCCCACGGCTTTTGCATCCCTCTCAGGTGCTCTGCAACCCTTGGCTTGCTCCCAGCTGTGAAGCCCAGCACTGCTGATGGATAAGCCAGCAGCAGGAAATGTTCAATATTTTATCCATTGTGGTACAGACATTGCTCAGCACCTTGCAGGCTCACTCCAGGCTACTGCTCACGCCAGCATGGCTATTGCTCAGCATCTTTCCACCTCTCATAACTAGGACCCCAAAACTCTTATTTCTGCTAATGTAAAAACAGGGCTGGAATGCTTAATGGCCTCACTAGGACAGAGCAGGCAGTAATCCTCAGCACTGCAGCAGAAGCAGCCACTGCTCCTGAGCACTCAGCATTAGTCCTGTCTGCTTAAGGCCTTGGCCCAATAACCAAGGTAATAAAACACCAAAGACCAGGGGAAAGACTGGAAGATTATACTCCAGAAGAATGAAAAGAAATATAAATAAAAATTATAAAGATGAACAGAAAACTGCATTTACAGAATAGGCGTGTAACAACATCATTTAGCGTGCACTTGTTGAAGAGCAGCCTTTTTTTCCTATGACTGGTCCTTTTTCTGCACTTTAAACATTACTTCAAATCTTGTTAATATTCTAATTTCTGACTTGGCCTGAAAGTTGAAATTCTCATTATCATCCTCTTTTTTTCTTTTTTTTATTTGAGGGCATTTCTTCGGGGTGTTTTGGGGTTTTTTTTGTTTGTTTGGGTTTTTCGGTTTGTTTGTTTTTGTATAACCACGAAGAAGTTCAACCACAAAAAGAAATCTACTAATATCTTTCATTTCAGAAAAAAAAATCCACTAAGATCTTTCATTTAATTACTTCTGATGCCTAACCCATGAGTTTTACAGGTGTGAGGCTGGTAATAAAGGCAGCAGGTAATTTAGCTGATGACTCCTATTACACTCTGTAGAAGAACCAGAATAAGAGAGATCATTTGTTCAAGAGTTGATCTTTATGCAGCCAGAAATCTGTGCAGTTCAGCCACCACTCAGCTGGTGGAAGGCATGATTGTCTAGAAACAGGACGGGCTTAAAGAAAAGGAAAACTGAAGATAACAAAAGGACCAAAAAAAAAAAGAAAAAAACCCCAAAAAACTGAAACAACAACAAACCTAACAAAAAGCACAAACAAACAAACCCCCCATCTGAACAGGAAAGGCTGAGTTCTACATTTTGATACACCTCTGCTAACTCAGTTACATGAAAGGGTGTTCACTTCAGAACTAGTCAACAGTCAAATAATTTGCTTTACCATCTTCTTTCAAGAAACATGTCTGAATTTCCTCTATTTCCACTCACTATTTCTCCACCAATGAAAGACTTAAGTCAGAATAATATTTTCTTCAGGTATTAGTGGTTAACAAACATTTTTATCTGTTTTCAGAGATATAATATATACCATTAAAAAAATATTCCTTTACAAGAAAATCCACTTGGACAGCATGTGCACACAGAGCAAGGTGTGCCTGGCACAAGAAATGAATTTTAGAAGTGTATAACCTGCATCTCACCACTCACACTATTATCTTGTGCAAGCCACTCCACTGTGGACAATGAGAACAGGCTGGTCATTTGCAGTTTCTCACCACAGAGCACTTACTTTAGTTTTCTGACCCTCATTCTCTGCACATTGCTTTTAAGGTTTGTACTGCACAGCCAGTTTCTATCAGAATTTCCTTCTAACACCTGACACAAAAGAAAATTCAAAGTTTTTGACATCTCAACTCAGAGACCTGTAAATCCCCATTCCCCACAAGTATGACCTTCTTCTAAGAAGAGCTGCAGCTTATCAGAAATTCAGATGAGTAATAGTGATGACAAATCTATACCAAAGGCTTTCAGAGGAATCAGTTACTGCTTCTTGCCATCCCCTCATCAATTCCCATGAAGTGCTCACTTGGCTGTGATTATCATTACTTATAATGGTGACATCAAACTGAAACTGAGTCAGTGTTTTAAAAATTATTTAAGATCAGTTCTGGGCACTAAAGCAGCTCCCAAGTCCCTGTTGCCAAATTACACGCTCTTCTTCACCAGAAGGCAAAGTTTTCTCCCTTGTGCCCAAGAGAAGGCAAAAAATAATCACTGGCTCTGATAACAGACAATAGTAATGAACCATACAAAGGAAATAATGGGTTATTTCATGCATTTGACAGCTTACTACATTTTAAAAAGATTTGTGAAGATGAAAATGCATTTCATTTATCTCAAACTATTTCATTTTAGGCATCTGTAGCAATTACAGCTAACATTTTTCAGACAGAATTGTGGTTCTTGAATTACAGTGTCCATTTTAAAGCAACATTCAAATTAATCTAGTCAATTCTTCCAATCCTCAAGTCCAAGAGGTGAAGGCTTGACAAGTTCCAGTTTCCTCTGTAACCAAATTAGAGCTAACCATTCGTACACTACCCAAGTGCCAGGCAGTGAGGCAGCCTCTCCTTGAGGAGGCAGCTCCTTTCCTCCTCCTGCAGCCTCCAAGGACAGAGCAATTCACGCCAGCAAAATGGCACAGGTGATGCACTAAGAGAGAGCTTTGGGAACCCTGCATTGTCGCTTTGTACAGCTGACTTTCAGGAGGGAGCTGCCAATTGCCAGGGAGGCAGCTCCACAGCAGCCCTGTGGCATCTCTGCCTCTCCTGCTGAAATCTAACCATAACAAAAAGGCAAAAGCAAAAGGCCAGCAATTAGTGCTCAGCCAGAGCAGTCCCGAGGGCTCTCACCATTACCTTGGCAGCTCATTAAGGAGCACAAAGAGGGAAGAAACATAAGACTGGAATGGATAAAAAGGTGAGACTGTGGTGTTAGAACTGGTGTAAACCATTATGATCACACCTCTCGGTTACAATCCGACTTTTTTTTTTTGACAGCAAAAGGAAGCTGTGAACTCAGCACTGTTACCAGGAATTCAATGCATCAAAAGGTGACTTCATAAATGGCCCCTTGGCCACCTCTGCCAGCAAAGAGCCCAAGGGCACCTCTCTGGGAAAAGCCCATCAGAAGGAAGGACCTCCCTGCAACACCACCTGATGCTTGTGGGGGATATCCCAAGGTCAGGGACACACTGTGCTTAACCTTCACAAGGCAGCAGAGCATCCCACCCAGCAAACTCCTGGCTCACAAGGCAAATTAGGTGCTCATTTACTCTTGGGGTCACTAAACACATTCTTAACAAGTGCTGACTGAGATTCCATCTTAAGCCTTTGACCCAGTAACAACACATCTTAAGCACACCAGGTCCTTGGAGAGATCCTTTTCCTATCTCTTCTTGCTGTTCTAGTGAAACAAACACAACGTTTTCCTGGGCCCTTACTGGCACAGTGGTTTTGATCCACCAAACAGCCATGGCAACTTCACAAAACAGTAACAGATAAAACCCCAGGATCCCAGACAACATATGGAAAGTCGTAACAACATGTATTTCAAATCTTTGCACCCCAGCTCATGTCCATTCATTCCCCTTCCACACTCCCCTCTCAAAGTACAGCAGCCGCAAACACAATGTCCCATCTAAGCTCCAAATGCAAAATGAATATAGGCTACATAAAACACAGCAGGGTCTAAAAATAACTGAAGAGCATGTACCTTAAATTTGCGTTCCAAATTTGTTTCCTACTGACAAATACAACTTTGGCAAAAGACCTAACTATAGGGAGTATTAAAAGTGATATCAGAAGTTTTTCCAGCAGCTTCCTGTAGCAGAGCTCTTTGGGAGGCTTTGCTGCAGGCCCACACAGCCCAAAGAAAAGGGAGTTTGGTGCAGGGGGCTCACACTCACCGTCTGCAGAGTTTCCTCCTGCCTCCTGCTTTGGCTCTGCCGGTTGATAAAGGAGCGAGTCGAGAGTTTGTAATGGTTCAACAAGCAGATGATCACTACCACCATAACAGTTATAACCACGATTATAATGATGATTTGAACAAACTCCAGTTCAGCTAAAACAAAGGAAAAAAAAGAGGAAAATGTGTCATCAACACACAGAAGGTTAACCATCAAAGCAACAACCTGAAAAGACACTCAATATTTCTCTGAGACTGATCTGGCTTGAGATACACTTGCTGTCCATTCTGCAAAGTTTTGTGATGAAAACAGTTCTAAAAAGTATGAAAAGTATTTCATTTTTGCCAGAGCAAACTGACCAGCATCAGTGGCTGTAGGTCAAAACTAAGAAGCTTCTTAGTGATCCTTCTCTGCAGCCTCCATAGGAAACAAACTCTTCAACAAAAACACCACAGATGAACCTTTTGGACAAAACAATTTCACTGAACAAAAAACCAAAGGAACCTCATACACACAAACCCCGTTCTATTTTAACAGCCACCTGTAGTACCAATAGAGTCCAGAGGGCTTCATAAGCTTCAAAGCCTGAGAGGAATCAGGACACTAATTATTTAGTACACTAACCTTAATTTTTTTATCAAGTCAAGGGCATGAAAGCTATTTAACTAGAGTGGAAAACCTTAAGCCTATTGAATGTACATGCAGTGTCTTTTTCAATCCACCTTCTCTCCAACGAGTGTAATGCTAACTTTTCCAGGCCTTTCCCGGTCAGGTAGAAATCTAAAAAGAGCCCTGGTACTCTAAAACAAGAGATGTTCCACCATGGATAAAAATGAAACCAGGGCCCTGGTTGTTGCAAGAGATACAATTACAATGAACTCCGTCAGAACCCATCATCTTATCTGAAGCCCTGCCTATACCACAAATATTAAGTATATTTAGAAATGAGTCACTCCTGCACCCTTTTGGCTACACTGGAGCAGCAAGGATGAGCAATGTAAGGGGAAAAATTGCCCTTTGCAGCTACCTAGTTGATGATATTTCTATGGAAACTGCATTGCTCACAGGGGATGCTCATCTTGAAAGACAACTCCAGTTAATGGGGGGAGGTCTTTGGTTGCTAGGCTGGCAGAAAAAGCAAAGAAGAAGCTCAAGTTGCTCAGTTTCAGTACTTTCCAAAAAGGGCACTACTTTTTGGACGCAAAAACATGAACTTTGGGGAACTGATACTAAATATCTGTTTTAAGAAGTTAATGAGTAAAGACACATGCCACATGAAAATGAAAGAACATGTATCAGCAAACAAGCCCCTTTTGCCCCCATCTTTAATTCGCAGCCACGCTCAGGTTTCTGTGTGACAGCAGAACACTTGTGCAGACACAACACAACTGTGAAGCTGAGCTACAAAAACACCACTCAAACATAAAACCCAAGATGAACCTGCAGTGCACCTAAAGGAAACCCAAGGCTGTTCCATTATTCCAAGATCTCTTGCAAACAAACATCAGACTCCAGGAGCTGCAAGCGTGCTGGTGTCCAGCGGGGGCTGGTGCCAAGCTCCAGCTGTCTGTCGCCAGCCACGGCACCAAGTGCTGAGGGTCTGCAATCCTCTCCTGAGGAGTAACTAAGCCTACTTAAGGCTAAGGAAAGAGTAAAGGGCAAAAATATGTCTATCGCTTTATCACTCTTCGCTGTTAAGTGCTTCCCACTCATCATTAAGACCACCAGCGTTTTCAAAGAATTTGGTTAGTCAGTGCTTGGTGCTCTGCTTTTGCTATCAACCCCACACACAGGGCAGCGATCTTTCTTTTTCCCCTCTCTTGAGTCACTGGAAGCTCAAAATGTCAGCACCAGAAGATCAAAAAGGTGGAAGAACAGAATTAATTAAAAAATAAACCCACCCAAACCACAGTTAAGTTAAAAGTCTTGGTTTTTCTTGGCTCAGAAACACAGAACACAGACTTCACACAGCTGACAACTTCTGCAATTCACATTCTGTGGCTACTGAAGTATTAAAAGGTTTCTTTTTCTTTATACAAACTTTTTTTGGGTCCATGTCACACTTTAGACTGGAAAATGGGAGACTGTTGCTAAAGGGCAACATGTAAAACAACCAATGTTTATTTGGGCTTTCCTAGAATGCACAGATCACTAGAATGACATGTTACTTCTCTATCTGCCAAGGACACAGTCTTCTAAATTTATTGAGACCCCTGCATTTCAGTGGCAAGGGACAGTACCTCTCCCTTAGAGATGAGTGATTTGGTCTGTGAGCACTTCCCGTAGGAGGGAACCATTTAAAAATGCTTGATTAAAATATGGCCATACAATAAAGAAAATAAAAACCACAGCACACAGCTGCGAGCACATGGGGTTTCCCACATTCAGTTTGCATTGTAAACAACAAACTGCAACAGAACACCTTACTGATGTTCAAGAGGATTTCCTCAATGGAAAGCACGGGGAAAAACGATAATTTTAAATCGCTTCTTCCTCCTGAGTGACATTCCTGCTGCGCATTAGGTTATCAGCGGTAAAAAGCAAAGGCAGCCTGCAGCAGCAGCAGTCTGTATTTGCTGGCACGGATCGAGGCCATTTAAATAGTTCCTAGCGGCTGCTGACAGGCCTGGGTCACCGCGGCCCCCATCACGTCCCCTGCCCGACACCTGCCAGGCGCGCAGGGCCACCGCCTTCCCGACAGGCATCTCCTCCTCCCCACTTTTCCCGTAAATTGACCGGGAAAGAAACCGGGCAAAGCTTCAGGAAGAGAAATGCTTTAGTTTTACGACCGTGAGCCTGTGACACTCACATACATCGGTTTCCTAACGCGCAAGAAACTGCATTTCTAATAAAAATTCTCCAGCGGGAAAAAACCTAAAACCAAACACAACGTTTCAGGGTAAACGCCCAACACGGAAAAAGCAACACGCTGAATCAAATTACCTTCTCAGAAGAGCTCGAAAAGAGAGACACAATTTACAACCCTAGCAGCGACCACACCAGACCGGCACCCCGAGCGAGCCTCCCCCCGCACACGGATCCCGCAGCTCCGCCGGGGAGCGCTCCCGGGCGCTGCGGTGCCCCGGGCCGCATCCCGCGGCCGCTGCCCCTGCGGACCTCGGCGCCGGTACCTCTTTCCAACAACAGGTCTTTTAACCGCGCATCCTTCACCGCTGTCCTGTTAAGCCGCTCACTGGACATGCTCGCCTGCGCCGGGCGGGGGGCTCAAGCCGCTCCGCCAGCCCCCGCGGCGGGCACCGCATCCCCGGCAGCCCCGGGCTCCATCCAGCGAGGGGGCACGGTCAGGGGGGCTGCCAGGGAGCCTCCCGCCCGCGCCTCTCCCGGCGCTCGGAGCGCGGCTGCCGCCCCGCAGCCGCCGCTGCCGCCGGAGCGGGCGGGCACGGCCGGCACCGGCCGCTCCCGCCCCGCCGTGCCCCGGCCGCGCGTGTGCGCGCACGCACGGACACCAGGGTCCCGCCGGGCTCCGCGCCCGGGGCGAAACGAGTTCGAGAAAAAAAAAAAAAAAAAAAAAAAAAAAAAAAAATCGAAAATCCCAAACCACAACAACAACAAGAAGAAAAAAAAATATTAAAAAACAGTCGACCGGCGAGAACAAAAAGAACGGAAAGGCGCTGCCCCGCTGGTGGGCGAGCCCCGCGGGGAGGCGCGGAGCGCAGACAGGGAGGGAAGGAGGGATGCAGGAAGGTCCGTACCTGACCCGCGCCGCCGCCGCTCTTTAAGCCCGGCCCGGCGCGGCGCGCTCGGGGCGCCCCGGCTCCGCCGCCTGCCCGGCCCGCCCGCGCCTGCGCCGCGCCCGCGCCGCCCCCGCGCACGTGCCCGCGCCCCGCCCCGCCCCGCCCCGCCCGCCGCGACGGGACCGCGCGGGGCCGGAGGCGCTCCCGGCCCTGGGCCCTTCAAAGGGAGCCGGCGGCCAAAACTCGGCCCCAGCGCCACACCGACAGCCAGAGGGATCCCGGGATCATCCCAGCTGCGCGGCCCCCGCTTCCTTATCCCAAGTTTCACGGGCAGTCGTGTGTGTCTCCGCGTGTGCGTAAAATACTAGGGAGTCGCATCCCGGCGCTATACCATAAAACCATAACCATCAGAAGGAACGATGCCTGTAACCTCAAGTTAAAAAAAAAAAAAAAAAACCTAAAGAAAGAGGGGAAAGAAGAACACCGGGCTTCAGCCGCATGTGTGTTTCTTTGGCAGAACTCCCAGCTCCAGCAGTGAGTGCTGCCTTCCTCTGAAGCCCTGTGCCTGCCAGTGAACCCCTGTGCCTGTCCCTGAAGCCCTGTGCCCATCCCTCAACCCCTCTGGCCCCCCCAATCCCCTATGCCTGCCTCAGCCTTTCTGGCTCCTTTCTGGCTGAGGAACGCTGCCAGGTGGGTTCCTCATCCTGCTCCCCACCTGTACTCGCACTCAGCACTATGATGGAGGCCGGCAGCAGGGACTCAGGGCTCTCCCTGCTGCCACTGTGCAAAGGAGCAGCACAGTTCCACAGTGTCTCTGACATGTTAGGAAGCACTGTCAGCACCCTGTCCTTCAATTCCCAAGATATTCCTTTATCCTGGCTTCAGCATCATGGCCAAGACTCCTCCCATTCCTAGTTACTTCTCTGGATTATGGTGGCATCCCCAAAGCACTGAATGAGACCAGTGTCAAGAAAAGTGAGCTGACCCTCTGGGCCACACTTGGCCAGGGCCTTGGAGCTCCTGAGAGCAGAGGAGATGGCTGCAGCACTGGGGAGGCTCCATGCCCCTCTCCAGCAGGCTGTGGCTGGCTCACCTCAGCTCAGCTCAGCTCAGCTCACAGCAGCACTGCTCTCCCCCACACACAGCACAGGCCCCCAGGACACGCTGGCAGACCATGGAGGCAGACCCAGTGCTGCCCACGCCTCTCATGTTTGTAAATCCCAAGCACCAGCCTCAAATATAAAGATGCCCCAACTCAAAGTCAAAGAGCAAAAGCCAGGAGGGGAAAGAGGCAGAGAGGAGTGGGCCTGCTTGCAGTCACCTATCAAGCTAGCACTATGAAGAGCCAGGGGCTTAAAAATATTAGGGAGACATATTCTGCTATATATATCCACAGCACACAGCAGGGCCCCTCTCCTGGTTACAGGCTATCCCCACTGTCTGGATTTATTAAACTGTTG